GAGAGAGAGAGAGAGAGAGAGAGAGAGAGAGATGGATAGAGAGAGAGAGAGAGATAGATAGAGAGAGAGAGATGGATAGAGAGAGAGATAAATAGATAGAGAGATAAATGGAGAGAGAGAGAGAGGTAGGTAGATAGAGAGATAGAGAGAGAGAGAGAGATGGATAGAGAGATAAATGGAGAGAGAGAGAGAGGGAGAGAGAGAGAGAGAGAGGGGGGGAGGGAGGGATGGATAGATAGATAGATGGATAGATGGATAGATGGATGGATGGATGGATGGATGGATGGATGGATGGATGGATAGATGGATAGATGATAGATGGATGGATGGATGGATGGATGGATGGATGGATGGATGGATGGATGGATGGATGGATGGATGGATGGATGGATGGATAGATGGATAGATGGATGGATAGATAGATGGATAGATACTTTATCGATCCCATTTTGGGAAATGATTTGGTTACAGAAGCAGAAGTGTGTTCAGACATTAAAATACAAATACTTCAAAAGTGGAATAGAGAAATAGAGGGTTCGTTATTTGTACATTTGCTGGCTTATACACTTTATCCACCAAAATTAGGATATATATTCAGTTGTATTACAGGAAATAGGCTTATTAAAAAAAGGCAATAAACTCTATTCCCAAAACCAGCAGATGGGTTTGTCTTTAAGTTCTTTTTAAGTGTCCCTCCGGAGTCCCTCCGGAGTCAGAAGGGTTAGTAAACAGAGAAAATGTTACAGTGGTTACTAACTTTTTAACCGGTTACCTTGGCGACACACTTTACCTCACATTGACTATATACAGTATTGATTGTCCTTCCTCCTTATCTTCCAACCATTTGGACGCAGACTTGCATTTCCCCATAACGATGTTGTTTAACAACCGGCGTAAACGGAAAATGCCGTTTAATACTTTTTAATAGCCTTCATTTTCGCTAAATTGATTTATCAACTTTTAATACTTTTTAAGACCCCGTGGACACCCTGTCTATCCTCCTCACCTCTAGTGGCTTCATGGAACTTTCAATGATGGGAATCATCCACTGGTGCAAGAAAAAGAAACACAGCAAAAATAAGTTTTTCAGACACGCACCACAAACTGTGAATTGTATATATTGGCATCCTTTTTAAAAGATTACTCGTCATTTTTTCATGTTTCTTGTTCTGGCAATTAAATCACAAACTACTGTGAATATATGCGATTACAAAATGTGAATGGACAGACTAAATATAGAATAACACATTAGTTCCATTATAAGACTGTACCTGTTGAGTGAGACCAACTAACATCTGCATGAAGAACAGCTGAGGACAAAGACACACATAATTAGTGGCATGACATCAGAAAAAAAAAACAATATTTTTCCACTTTCAGGAACTTTTTTTGTTTTGTGTCTTTACAAGTCAAAACTACAAACATGTAAAACATTGTTTTCCCTGAAATACGCAAATGACTTTAAAAGGAATTTCATTATGTTCTTCATCAAAATTCAAAGCAAATACTAAGCTCTCAAAAGATATGCAGGTCTTCTTGCTTTTAAGTACTTTTAGGGAGATGCTTTTAAAAATGTACGAGCCTTCACTGAGATCAGTCATTATGAGGAGAGAAGGAACCTCTCTGACAGTACAGCTGCAGCAGAAGGGGGGGGGGGGCTTCTGGCTTAAGCTGACATGAGATATTTCCTCACCATTTCAAACAGTCTCCTGAGCAGGAAACTCATGCGGATATTAGGAGAGCGAGGGAAGTTGAGCTCGTAGCACAGAGTTGGAGCAAAGACAAAGTAGTACATGTCTACAGAGATGGAGAAGAGGTCAATGTGATAGTTAGTTAAATATGGGAGAAAAATGTAACGCGAATAAGAGACGTGGCACATGATAGAAAAAATCATTGATGAAGTTTCATACAACAACTAGATGTGTTTGAGTACCTCTGATGGTGAGGTTACCAGGGTAATACACCTTACGGTCGCCTCCATTTAAGTGCTGCGCTGAGGGACCTGCAGGCAGAATGAATACAAAAACATGCATGTTAAGTATGTGTCTGGTCATGTAGTGGTATACACAAGTCTATACAAATACAGAGAAAATATGATGAGTGTGTGGATGATGAAATACAATCTTTTTTGTTAAATAATCAAGATTTACCCACAGTATTGGGAGATTTCCTGTGTGCTTAACTGTAGATTTGTGAGAGATGTAGTATCAACTGTCTGCCATTAGATGTCACTGTAACAGCATGAGCCAGTAACAGGCAAAACATACTAACTGATATTAAAATGAGCAAAGACAATCTGAATGGGTGTTATGTAAGACAGTATGCAAACTACTTTTTACAGGATTATTTTGGCACACATGTTTTTTTGACTTACAAGACAGCGACCTGGCCAGTTTCTTTGCCTTGACACTGCTCAGCTCTCTGCACCACTTGTTGACGTCTTTATAGGAGTAAAGCTTTAGGAAGAGGATAGTGTGAGTCCCAACAACGAACACACCGCCAACTGACAGAGAGAGAGAGAGAGAGAGAGAGAGAGAGAGAGAACAACAGATTGTATTTAACACTGTGATTTGGAGCAAGCTGTATTGTGATGAACTGATATACTGCCTAGACGTTTAGGTGGGAAGCAGAGATGAGGGAAAGCTAATAGATGGTAGAAAATAGTGAGGAAAAAGGGAGGAGGGGGTAAGGGGAAAGAGGAGGAGAAAGGGAGCAGGAAGTAAGAAAATAAAGATGAAAACAAATAGAGAGAAGGGATGATTTAAGAAAGAGAAAATGATGAGAGAAAAAGGGTCATTATTTGATCTGGAACAAACAGCAAAACAAGCCCAGTAAAATAAATCATCTCAGCTTAAAGTATGAGTGCAGTCTAACTATGCCAAGGACATTATCATACAGTGTGTGTGTGTGTGTGTGTGTGTGTGTGTGTGTGTGTGTGTGTGTGTGTGTGTGTGTGTGTGTGTGTGTGTGTGTGGACCCCAAAAACTGTGCTTTTTACGAGTCAATATAAAAATATATTTGATGTTTTACAAATAAACACATTTTTAGCGTGTGATTGTACACATCTACAGACACACACAGGCCTAGCACAGCTTCATCAATAGTCACCATATGCTTGATAGCAAAGGACCATGCTGAACAGAGAGGGGAACAAACACACACACAATAAGCATATACCCACACACTGGTACAGCAACACACAAAGGAAAACTGCCTGTTGTGCCAGTAGGGTGATGTGGAGGTCATTACACCTGGCATCAAACCACAGCAGATCTTATCCATTAACCATCTGTCTCTCTGGCTCTCCTAAGGCTTTCAGACAACTAAATTTTTGCTACAAAGAAAGCTACTGTTAATAATAATCATAGAAACAGTGAGAGGTGGAGCTTAAATGAAAAATAAAAACACACTTTCTTTCAAGGATGTGCAATATGGATAATAATTGAAGTTTGGATCTCAGATGGGAATTCGGGGTGAGCATCTGACTTAGTTATTCTGCTGTGTAGAGGATTTCTTCTTTGCTCATTCATCACACTGAGAGCTGTTTGAGAACCTTCTTTCAAGAAAGCTGAAAAGGTATTTGTCTTCCATAAGAATCAATACGCATGTCCAAAGAAAATTTGCCCTCATATTTACTCTTTTCTATCAGGAACATCAGAGAGCTTGAGGTTTTAATGATATAGACAGACATCTTCAATAGAATAAACTGTACAGGTAATACTTACTGTAGACCTATAAGCCCATTGGTTAATGCACAATGGTTGAATACTGGTTGCATAAGCAGAGTGTGGTTTACACACAGTTCAGAGCAAATTGAGAATGCTTCACTGTATGCACACCACAGTGTATTTGTGAATAGAATAAAACTCAGATGAACAGAGCTATTCTATTCTTCATCCTAAACAAAGACAATCCTTGCAGCCCACTTGTACAAATGATTAAAGGACATCAAAAGAAGTGTAAATAATGAAGGTGGATAATAGTTTCCCCTTATCGCTATAGTATTCTTGAAAAGGAATTTAATACTATTTGAAATGTAGCTTGAAATCCGATACTTGCACTCTGCTTTATGTACAATGTCTGAATATGGGTTACATAAGCAGTGCCCAGTAGATGCAGACCTACCTCCCTCTCCACACACACACACACGCACGCACGCACGCACGCACGCACGCACACGCACGCACGCACGCCCTCTGTCATTGCCCTTCCTGTGTGAACAGCAGCGCAGAGAAGAGAACAGACACACAGATGGACCGACTCCTTTACCTCCCAGAGAGAGAACAGATGAGAGGAGAGGAGAGGAAGATATACCAAATTGGCAGTACAATAATCCTTTTTCTTTAACTAGATGATCATTTAAAATGTGTGCCAATTGCAAGAGGACACAAGACACTAACTATGTGTCTCATGATTAAGGTAGAGTTTGAGTTGGCCTAACTAAAGTTTGAGGAAAAGAGGACTGAGACTTTGTATATTAAGTATATTACAGTATGATAACGGTGAAACACTGTGGAATATTGTTGGGTTAAGTGAGAAATGTGATCTTTGGATTAAGATTTGTATTTTATGTTCAGCAAGTTGGATAACTAGCCCTCAAACCAGAAATATGCTCTTTTCTCGTACACATATTAGTACTACAAAATAGAAGCACAATCTTTGTTATATTGCATGTTCAACATTTGGTGAGAGTCACATGTCCTGTTGAATGAAAATGAATGACACTGGCTTCCTAAATGATCGTCCTTGTTTGTTTCACATAACCAAAGCAGCAATCAGACAACGTAAATTAAACAAAAACTGGATATATTGCTTTAAATGAATCACTCAAAGACATATAGTGTGCTGGTGAATCAGGATCTGTAGAAAATTGCTAATTCTTTATAGGTGAGTTTTGCCGTTTTTCGGAGGGCGGCCATGGTTTCTGTCAGGCAGCCTGATGAAGACAGAGGAAGGTGACCCTTGGTTGACCCCGTGCTGCAAACCACACCCCTACCTTGGCATCTCTCCTCTCCTCTGCACTCCTCCCTTCTCTTCTCTTCCCCTAAGAGCCAGCTGGAAATAATCCAGTCATGACCAACTGGTCCATTACCACTAACCGACTCCAATTATGGCTCTGTATAAGATATGTCTTTTACTGCACTATCAAACTGGTCGACTGTTCTCTGAAGGGCAAGGATGGGAATGTCCTCCTAATCTTTATCACAGTTACATTATGTCCTGCTTTATACACATGGAAACACTGTTAACTACCAATGACTGGATAATGCTTTGGCTGCATATTACATGATACTATTTTAGTCAACTACTTGTCTCTATTATGAACGGTAGGTAGAAGCAAGGCTGCGGAGATGGTATCTTAAGACAGTGAACAAAAATCTTACCTGGGGTCACGGAGGGGACCAATAGGACGACTGCAGCAGGGAATGTTAGCATGTTTACCATGTTAATGCAATGGACCTGAAATCCCACACGTTCAGTGAAGGAACCCTGGGAAGAAAGAGAGGAAGAGAGGGAGAGCAGGAGGTTTTACTATATAAACTAAAGACAGGAAGGTTTACCATTTTTAACCAAAATCTTCCAACAAAATGTCTTTAGTTTGTTTGTCGATGCTTGAACTTTAGTCTTTTGTTGTTGAGCTTATTATTTAAAAGTAGAATACAGTGGCTAAAAATGACAATTGAATGTTTTGACCCACATTTATGGTGATGGTGGCCAAATGAAGTTTTCAGGATGCTCCATATTCATTCCAAAGTGACATATGCCCTAAATGCTGATGGTGAACATGTGCAGATGCGGTTGGGGAGGGTCAGCTAGTAGAAATCCCTCTTTGGAGTTATGAAAGTGCTCCAAATTCTACAGTTCAGTTAAAATCCACAGTGCTCTGATGTTTAAGTTTCTCCACTCACCTTTGATAGCTGCCTTTCTGTGTAGAGAGCCACCAGAATGAACAGGTTGGAGGCTATTAAAACACAACAAGAGAGAGCGATTCATATCAGTTTCTCTCTCTGAAAGTCTTGCTGTTTTCACTTAAACACTCACAACAACACAATTTGGCAATTTGTTTGTTTTATCTGCAGGGATATAGCCTCTTATTCTCAGAGCAGATACTGTACGGTAGATGAACTGAAAACACGAAATGCATACACACACACACACACACACACACACACACACACACACACACACACACACACACACACACACCANTGAACAGGTTGGAGGCTATTAAAACACAACAAGAGAGAGCGATTCATATCAGTTTCTCTCTCTGAAAGTCTTGCTGATGAACTGAAAACACGAAATGCACACACACACACACACACACACACACACACACACACACACACACACACACACACACGGATGATTAAACATCAACACCTGATGGAAGAAATGAGCCGGCACTAACAGAACATATGTGTTACACAGCACACGCCAACTGCTAGTTAGTTAGAGTGACAGGGCAAATAAATGGGTGTGCCTGAACGTGCACACACATACACACGTCATTTAAATCTAATAGGAAGTAAATAATAGGGAACTTCCTTTGGATTTAACAATATCCTGATTTTAGAAAGTGTGATCATTAGCCAATGAAAAAGATCCAGAAGTAAAGTACCACTTCCTTTATTCAACATGACTGTTTCATACATTTTACCAAAAGAGAATTGTAACAGTTTATATTTAATTCTTAGTTCTTCATCAAACACAAAGACACTATCCCACCTGAATAGCAGAAGACCTCATGGCACACTCCTGCCAATGTTTCTTTTAAATCTATTTTGGATACAGGCCTGTTGAGCATCTTTCACTAACAGCAACTATTGAGCCTACTTGTGCATCAAACTGCAACAAACAGCGCCATTTAGCACCTGCACAGAGCAGCCTTTGGGAGTTTTTCAGGCACCAACAGACTTAAACGACAGTGAGATACCTTACATTAGAGTCAGTTTTATTTTTATTTAGGTCCCTCCCAGGGACACTTGCCTAACAGTAAAACTTTATACGCGGGTTTTCTAAACTTTCCCCTCTTTTCTGTTAGGCTACCATAAATTGTGGCCTTCTAATTTGCTTTTTGTCTTGGTATTTGTGTGTGGGAGTGTGTGTGTGTGTGTGTGTGTGTGTGTGTGTGTGTGTGTGTGTGTGTGTGTGTGTGTGTGTGTGTGTGTGTGTGTGTGTGTCTGCTGCAGTGACTCAAAGAACAGTATGCCCTCTGGGAATGAGTTGCTCTACTGTCCATGCTACTGTAAACAGACTCCCATTCCCACCTGTCTCTTTGCCATCGGGCATTAACCTTAACTCCATCCTTCTCTCCCTCCCTCCTTCTCCTCTTACCCTGTGCACCACTTCACATCGACCCTCTCTTTCTTCCTTCCCCACTCCTTTATTATCCCTTTTTTCCAACTTAACTCTGTTTTTCAACCCTGCCATTTCCCCTATTACCTACCCTCTCTATATAGACCATAAAGCACTTCATTTTCTCTTCCGTTTAAATAACCCCCCCACAGCTTTTCTCCTTACACCCCCACTCATCTCCCTTTCTCCTCTCTTGCTCTTCATTTCTCTCACCCCCTTCCTCTCTCTGCAGCACATGCAGGGTGCAGCATAGTATATAGGGCAGGTGATTGTCCCTCTAGAGACACTGTAAGCTGCACCACTGCAGACTTTCACTGCAATATACCATACAAATAAATATGCAAAAAACTTTGAATATGATATGTGCCTGCTCGCTTATCAGAAAAGGAAACAAGTGAGATCACACAACCAAAAACATGTCCACTGTTTCAACACAGATCAGTTAAAGAATAAACATTAATGAAAGTTTAGCACTTAATGTTACTAAATGTAAATATGATTTTGCTCATGTTTTTGCGTTTTTGTACTTACCAATAACAAGGCATGCTGCTGGCCAGCTGTAGGGATCCTTCAGAAACAAGGAAATCACCTGAATAGGGTCCACCAGAATGCCGTACCTAACAAACAAAAAGAAAGAAGAAAAAGACAAATCAAAATGAAAATATCAATTTAATCAAATGTATATTAACCGAATACAGGAGCTGATTTTCAAGACAATTTATGTAATCCATCTTCTTCAAAGTAAAACATATTAAAGAACTACACACAACACACTTTCTTTACCAGGGAAATCTTTGGTTTCGTTTTATTAATTGAATTAATTTCACCTTTGCACTTTCTAGGAGAGATATCAAAATGTGTCTGATAAATTAGATTACACGATTAGTACTGTAAAACCTCTGTGCAAAATAAAGATGATCATTTTTTGGAAAACCTTTTACTTGGCAAGTATAATTTTAGATTACACGTACTGTGAAATTGGAAAATTATTTTTACAGCAAAAGGTTTACAAGATTATCATTAGAAAGGCCACACTGGGTACAGGCATACTGTAGAAGAAAAAGACAGGGAAGAAAAAAAAAACGTACAGTACTCACCTTAGCAGGTTTTCTAAGAAGAGGCGAGCATTACTCAAAACCTGCAACACAGAGCAAGAATTAATAATGTTCAGTGTCTCTTGCCTGCATGTACATCCACAATAACCTTTGTAGTGTGTACGTTTCTTGATTTCTATGCTTCTAATTCAATAAATGGATATTTTCGCATTACCTCTCTTTCTGTTGCTCCCCTACAGTATATCTCATCTATTTTCTCCTTTACATATTTCCAATCCTCTTCATCCTCCTACCCACATTCTTATATCTCTCCTTCTCTCTCTTGGTCTTTCTAAATGGATTGTAATATCTCATTACCCAGCACAAAAGCTCTATGACTGGGGATGGGACAAGTTCAGTGAGAATGGAGAAAATAAAACTCCTGCAATGAACAAAACAATCTCTGTTCAAAGCCTGGATTAACAGAAGGGCTAGCCTTGTCTTTTTCTCTCGCTTATTCCCGACACAGGAGGAAGATGTTGAGCTTGACATTAACTTGTTGTCAATGTTGAATTGTTCTTGCACGTAATTTAATATTTTAAGAAAATTAATTTTAACAAGAAAAAGGGTTATGATGGGAGCTAACTTCAATATTTGCATTATTTAATGAAACACTAAGTCTTTGTGTCAAACACAACCCCTTGATAAGACTATTTTTTCTATACTTTTATATTGTATATCATTTGGAAATATTTTAATGTATTAATCCATGCCAGTGTATTTTCTGCTTAGTTCTCCTTCTGTTTTGATATTAGTGAAAACAAAACTGAATAATATCGGATTAGAACAAGGCTACTTACGGTATGTACTGTAAGGGTACAGTTGTTGTTTTATTGGTACTTCACTTATTATGAATAAAGTAAACTGAGAACTTCATTTAACTTGTAAAAATAAGCCAAACTGTGCTCAAACTAATTGTAATTATTGCATCCATATTGTCATTATCATTGAAAAATACATTTAAATGATCCTGGTGGGATTTTGTGCTGAATGGTACCAAACATAGTTATTTTCTTAAGAAGACCTCGGTATCACTGGATCAATTTATACTATAGCATATTCAAAATGGCCTTTAACAAATATTGCAGCTCCTGTGATTTGGATAATGAACTAGTCCACATTACAATTCGCAATAAATTCAAATAATTGTTCAGCCCTATCCTGGTGTGGACATGGCTTTGGTGAACATTTATATCCACCCTAGATTTCTATGCACACTTTTTTCTTACCAGCATAACCACACACCAGTTTAGGATTCCTCTGTAGTTACTGAAACCACTGGATGAACTCAGCAGGGACTCCTGTGTTTTATGACAGCTAATGAAAGAAAACAGAGTAATGGGTGAAGCAATGACCATCATAAATAGCTTAAGGTACATTTATTTTAATTTCACTCACGAATCAACTATAAATCCAACAGTAAAAAAATAAAAATAAAAAACTGTTAAACCTACATGTCTAACCTCTAGATTTGCTGGCAGTAAATCAATCAATCAAAAACTTTTATTCCAGACTCAGGGTTCAGATAAAAGACAAGACATTACATATAATAAAGTAAGAAAGGAAAGATTGGAAGATGAAAATACCAGCCTAAAACATTAGGCTTTATTAACACTAGTTTACGCCCAATAAATAAAAAGGTTGTTGCAGCTGCTCAGACAACTAATGGTGAAGTTTGTGTGGTTAAATGTTTGTCAAACTACTTTTATTATAGGACACCAAAAATAAATCGTACTGATTTATTGCTCTTTAAATGACTGATCTGGTGCTCAGTCAGTTCACAGGGTATTAATTACATTATATAAAAAGCCTTTTTAGGCTAAGGGAATTAAGTCTACCCACAATTCACCCTGTTCATCGGGGAACTATCGGGCACGCCCCTAATCAATGAAGCAACCTGGAGTAACGCTGGGCATCCAGGGTGAGTTCTAAAGTGTGTTATTCTGCCAAGAAGCTCAACAGATGGGGTTAAAGTATGAATGAAAGACACTTAAAACCACAAGGTTGGTTCAGAGCGACCTCAAACGACCCTGTCCAACATTTAAACCCTCAATGTCTGCTGCACTCAAACTAGTTCAAAAGCCATGCTGACTAAATAGAACGTTAATAAAAGTAGCTTAAAGTGAATATAACGTCATTCGTTAGCCCTTTGAAGTCTAACTTTTATATTCAACTAAACTTTCCTCGGACGAAACAACAGTTTGTTTTTGTAGCTTTAAAACTCACCTCATTCTCTCACTTATGTCGTTCCTGCGTTTATGTTTCTCACTCTTTGAGTTTGATCGGGCTGTTTCCACCATACGGTCTCGTTTTCCCAGGCCATTATCTTTTCCCAAATCAGCGGTCACTGAGCTCTGAGACGCCGCTGCAGACTTCCCATTCATCGGCTGCATACTTCCACCTAACCCCGCTGCGAAAGTCGCCCTTCTTCTCAGAGTCGCGTCCGAGTCACCCATACTGACAGAGAAAAACAACAACTTTAAACTTACTAAAGTTCAACTCTACGGCTTACTTCTGATGGTAGCATGCCTGTTGCTCTGTGCGTAGTGTGGCATAGAAGAGGGAAGTGAACTGTTGCCAAACAATCCGCCCAAAGCTCAAATATCCGTACAGTAACTGGGAGGTAGGAGTTTAGGATGACGCCACTTGGTGTTGCAGCAGTCCGGCTAACTTGTCAGACTTTACCACGCTGCCACTGACGGATGAGTCAGATTCTCAGTAGGGGGTGGCTCATTTCAGGCAGTGGCAAGTACTTCCGGCATCTGCCACAGAGGCCGCTACTCCGTGGTATCTGTGGCAAGTATATGCCAGAGATGCCACAACTTGCCAATAAAGTTGATCTTTTTTCTTTATTCTTCTCTCTTCCCAGCTCCATCCATCACCGTTCTCTGTTCCTGCAGGTCCTGCTTGCTAATAAATGCTCATATTTTTTTACACAATTACAAATAAAGTCAATGTATTGTATGACATGAAGTTGTGCTTCATTCTGAGTCAATAATAAATTCATTCTGCCTTCAACTGCAAAATGATTGTGGACTGCACCGACATCCATGTAGCTGCCCCCCAGTAAGATGAACCAAGCAAAGCTGACACAAAGCTGTGGGCTCTTTAAGTTGACATGAAGAATTTGGTGAAATATTTTGGTAATAATTTGGAAAAAAGCATGACTGGACGATGCAGAAACTTTCTTATAGGAACTAGCAGGGAAGATTTATCACTACATATTGTGCACACTTAAAAGGCCAAACACACTGGCCAAACACCACCTCGTTTACAACTCTCCAGTTGACAGCCATGACTCCGTCTAATTGTTACCTCCCCAAGCAACCCTCTTCATCGAGGGACGCGCATTGGAGTGGAATGAAAGTCCCCGACCTCAGCAACAGCACCAAATTGCTGGCCCTGGTCAAACCTGCCCCTGGCCTTTGTAAACTGGCCACTGAGGATTTGTCTGCTGTCCTAAAACGGTGGCTGTCTGGATGGCCAGGCTTGCTGGCTCTGCCTGCTGCAGTCGCATGGAGGCAAGAATTGCCTCTCAAGGCCTCCGAGCCCCATGCTCCTTCACCAGCTCCGGCACGTTGAAATGGGCCTGATGCTTGAGGCTGCAGCTCTGCTCAGGTGACAAAAGCCATGCCATGACACGCTGCCGCCCCTCAGTGCAGACCTGAACCAGTCTACTTCCTCCAGTGGCGATGTCCTTCTGGCCCAGTGGGTTGTATTGCTAAGCGCTCTTTGAGTTGTGAGCCTATATAAATTAATGCCATTATTATTATTATTATGTCTCCTCCTTGCTGTTTGTAGGAGTTGACAGACACCGGTCTGGACTACTTTTGGAAGTGCCAGGCTTCCTCCACTGTGCATCTCAACTTCTCATGGTAGCTGATCTGGCCACATGGCAAATATTGCCAATTGCTGCAGCGTGGGGCTGCATTTGTTACATCGTCGCTACACACCACAGACAGCGCGCTCTGCATCGCGCCATCCTCCTCTCCCATGTAGATCTGTAACAAATAAAGTAATGTACCATGTTTGTTAACATGCTATAATAGATTTGAATGAGCAAATACAAGGATGGTCCCAGAATCTGGGGTGGGGAGGGTTTATTTTTCCATTAGTTTTTGTCCTCTTGTCTGATTGTTGTTATTGATTTGTTTTTTCTGAATTTTGTATTTGTGTTATTGTGTGTGATGTGATTACATTGTATTTTTTTTAAATGTGTATTACATTTTTGAACAACATTTGATCAACACAAAGAAGGATTTGGTCAGGATCCAGACTCCAGTGTGGTAGTTTATGAATTAATCCATGCTCTCTACATTAGGAAAAACACATACCAGTGTACCAGATCCTTCGAATCTACACAGCCTAGAACCAAACAAAATCAAATGACACAACGAGATGTAAAAAGGAGACACACATAGTCGATATAAAACTGTCCGCTTCAATCTGAAAGAGCAATAAAACAAAACACCGGGGTGGTACCTGGTCTTGTGAACACTAATGTAATCCACAGCAATACACACCGATATACTCAGTATACACCCGTTCTAGGTTCTGATTGGCCTCTCTAGGTGGCATTCCTAGCTTCTGACCTGGCTGTCAGCGGTTGTCAATCACCAGTCCGTGGTTCATATTATCTAGTCGACTCGTAACATCGCTAAAACTTTTTTTCTTGACGGTTTTTCTCAGTCAACTAATGCTAATGTAACAGCAGAACACTAAATTAACACAGCCCTGCACACTGCAGTCATTATATGCCGGTCTGGTGGTTCATCATTCTTCTTTTTCATTCTCCTCCTTATTGACTGACATTAACGTTAAACATTGCACTCATATTACTCACCGAAACCTTGTAAAGCTGGCCGGTCCCGCATGCTGGCTCTTACAGAACCGACTAACTCCCCTTTCGTGTATGTACAGCTCTCAACGTGCCCAGACTTGTAGTGATTTTCACCTCGTTTTATACTTTTATTCTCATTCTGAAAGAATGAGGTGAAATGTGCCAACGTGACGGCCATCTTTGTGTTGGTGACGCGTATTGTGCGGGACCAGAGACATGTAGTTCACTGAGCGGCTTAACACAAAAAAATGTGTTACTTCACAGTTTTACGACACATTTTAATTTTTTTGACTTGCAAAATGTTCTTTTAAATTGACAAACATCATATGTGTCATTCGTGGCACAATTCAAACGGGATCAAAAGATACGTTTTCTCTCTCCATTGAATTTAAGGGGAGGGACTTCGCCTCTCTATTGGCTTCGAATTGAGGAGACATCTGATTGGCTATAGATAGAAAAAATTACAAGTACGAATCGGCTGACCGTCAGGGGAGTCTAAAAAAACCCACACACGAATGCACAGCGATCCATGCACAGAAAGCGGTTTGTGTTTGCAGGTTCAGAGGTTTTAAACGGAAAACAAATATGTGTGGATCAAAAATACACATTTACATTTTTTTTCTGTATTTGGAATTTATTTACATGTATATGAAACGGAACACATTTGTGTGTGCATTGAAAAACACAAGTGTGGATCCGGAAATACAAGTGTGAATCCTTTTGCGGATCATGAAATACAAGTGTGAATCCTTCTGTGTGCATGTGTGTATTATGAGACTGTTCTGAGCCCATACAAAGTAGGCCTGTACTCTGATTTATTATAGGGCGCATTAAATGTCTAGCAATGATTTTAAACAAATACATGTGCTTCTGCAACTTCTGTAAGCAAAGTGAAGTGGGTTTAAGTGGCCGGAGGAAGTGAGATGTCGAGATAAAACACGCTCCATCCATGGTTTTACAAACAATGGAAGTGTATAACTGCAGGTTAAAAACAGGTTTCATCTTCATCTTTCAAAATACTTGCCACTGCCTTTTTGGGGCACATGCCTAATGATTGCAATGCAAGTTGTAATTTAAGGCACTGCTAGTATTGTTGAACAAGTTCTGGCACAGCCTTTAATGATACTTGTATTCATTCAGTGTGTTTACACCGTTGGCCTTTTTTTAGATTAGTAAGTGGATATCACAACACTGTTACTAAGTAGATATCAACAGCTGGCTCTTTAAATGGAGTCGTATGACTAACATCTCAAAACACCAAAGAAACAACTGAACCTGATTGAAGTTGAGCTTTTTATCAGTTTTGAGTAGACAGATAAATCTGAGCTACTGTAGGTCTTAATGTAGAACCTGACAAGCTAAGGATGGCCACAGTAATAATGAAACCCTTTTATGACTAGGCAAACATGCATAGTGTTTATCTTGTTACAGCCATAGACTCTATTTGTTCACCCTCCACACATGCCAAACTTTACATGCTTTATTCCACATTTACCCTAACTAAGAAAAGCACGTTTCTACTTTTCATCCATTGATAGTTTTGTGGTGCATAATGAGCATTACAGCCACGCTGGTCCACTAGTGTGACAAATATGGACTGTAAAATATATACCTCTATCTATGGCTGAAGTATTTCAATGAACTATATAGGATTTCAAATTATTCCCAGAGTCTGGGCAAACATAACATCCTGTAGGTTACTCCTTGTGTATAGCAGCCTAAATGCTCTTTGAAATCTTTCATTTAATGAGAATGCCCTTTCTGTCTTTTCTACTTCTGTGTGCTTTTCCAATCTGTGGTGGAAACTGATCAGTGGCATTGATCCAGCGTTATCAGTCCTTACTGTCTATAAGGTTGTCTTTTAGAGTAATGAGCCTGTCGACTGTTGCTGGGATAAGAGACCTTGGAAGCGATCAATAGGAAACTTATGTCTAATGTTTTAACTCCTCCCTAAACTACAGTGTTTTCCCCAAACCATTTAACCATATGAAGCTCAATATCAATCTGCCTTTTTTGTTTTCACCTGTCTTTTTGCTCTTTTGTTTGTCCTGACTGTAAATGATTTAAAGCTGGTTTGATAATTGAGTATTGCAGTTGGACCAAAAAAAAGCATTGTTCCTCCAGTTTCAGCATTTTCCTGGTGTATTTTCTAACAACCGGTTATAATCTTTCTCAGGGAGGCAGTCTGATATTCGACTGAAGAGACGCATCAGTGGTGACGATGCAACATTATCACTACATTTTTAGCAGCCTGTGCTGCAAGCCAGTAGAGGGAGTTGAAGACTTGAATCGTTTTTCAACCATTCAGTGAGTCATGCCATTATATTGTGTCTTATTTGAGGGTCCCAGTTGAACAACCTGACGTATATTTATTGCCCTTGTGATGAATAAAATAATAACATATTTGTTTTGCTTATCAGATAATGCATTCATGAATACATTAGTGAAGGTTAGTATCGAAGTGACTTGTTTTCATGTGCAGTTTAGACAGTGGTGCTGGACAAATTCAGAAAGTAAAAATGATGAATCAAAGTTGAACTTCTCTGTATTGTACTGCAGAAGCCACTCTGTTGCGTGCAAACCTGCTAATGCTCGATGAAGTTATTTTTGATAACAGCTAGACATTTAACATTTAGAGAATAAGAGGTTTTACTTATGCATTATTCATGTTAACATTAGGGCCTCAAAATGGACGCTTTCTACGCAAGATCTCTGTCTGAGCTGCAAGAGGCCGGTAAGAACACAAACATATTTCTCTTTTCACGTCTTTCATTCTGTATCCCACCATAGAAACATGACCTTTACATGACCTTTCCACTCTTTAATACCTCTTTTACCTTGTGTGTGTTACATTATCT